GCCGTGCGACGGGCAGGAGCGGTTCGGCTGCCTCTTTGCCAGCCCTCGCCGTGAGGTTGGTCTCGTCCACGTTAATGCCTTTGAGCGCTGCTAGCCCAAGCTCCACGCCATCACGTAGCTCGGCTAGCGTGCGTCCTCTCCGTTTGGTGGGTAGCGCTGCTGCCTGCAGTCAATGTTTCTTACGGAGAAGAACAGCAACGAGGGCCTGTTAAGTGTCCTGTGGGTGATACGCTCAAACGTCGCCAAGTAAGCAAGAGGTTTTGCAGCGTCCAGGCATAACTGAACATCAGTATTAGAAATGGTAGCATACTACCTAGTTTATATTGTAGGGTCAGTTTAACCAATAACAAATAGTTATTAGCTTTTTTTTAATTACGTTTTTTTTTTTTCCTTTACTGATTTGGACTAGTGGGTTTATGTCTAATGTTTGTAAAATGATTTAGACTGCATGGATGTGTAATATAAACCACATTTAATGGATTATGAGCCACTTAATTAATGTGCTATGAAATCTTGGATTACCTGTGTTTTATATTCTGCAGACGATTTTGCAGTGGGTTCGCTGAAAATTGTAAAAGTGCTTAGATATATTTTCATTTAAATCCAAGAATGTGCACAGTATTGGAAGGTGATTATCCAGGGGATAATCATGCTTTTTTGATATCTTAATGAATTCTCAAGTTGAATGCTAAGAGTTAAAGGGGGGGGCGGGGGGGGACCAGAGAGCGCATGCAGGCGAGAGAGCGCGCGAGTGAGAAAAAGCGAGCTTGTGATAATGAATGGACGTTGTTTAAGAGGGTCGACTAGGCTGCAAGATCGTCTCTATAGATTTTTGAAATGCTCCTAGTGCATTTTATATTTCATTGTATCATATTTTCTATAAAATGCAGTTTCTGTAAATGAATGAGCATTTGAAATGTGTCTTGTATGAAGTGGAATGTGGTAAAAGTTTGCCCGAGGGGTCTCAAACGTTGCTGGTACGTTATTAATTGCCGAGTACGCGCTCTTTCTTTCTTCCTCGGTTGGTCGGCCGGTTGGTCGGTCGATGGGTCGGTTTATCCTTTCGCAGTTCAGAGAGCGCACACGCTCCCCTGCGTTTCTTGAGGAAAGCGGCAAGCGGTGGCAAAGCCTCGGGAGCTGGAGGTGAGTCCGAGGGCAGCGGCAGGAGGGGAGGCTGCTCGGGGGCGCCGGTGTCAGCACGCGCTGCGTCCTGCCCGGCAAATTGCCCACGTCCGATGCCTTTCCAGATATTTATTCCGTAGTGGGGGACTCGGTCCTAGCTGGCTCC